CAAGGAACCAGCATGCAGGGGGAGAACAGCAAAACTCCCTGAAGCAGGGGGAGAACAGCAAACCCCCCCGAAGACATAGATAAGACGGAAGCCTGTTGAAAGATAACGACCCCAAGGAGCCACTACAGGAATGCTGACCTCACTTAACCTTATCTCACCTTCTCAAGGCCCACAAACTTTATTCTAATACAACTGTCTCTCTAAAATCTTTTCTCTTTCTAAAATCTTTTCTCTTTCTCTGTCTAAAAAGGTCATTGGTTTGCTGATTAAAAAAGAACATACGAAATCTAATAACTAGGCTAATTCAAATGAAACGTTACTAAACTCTGTGTATTAATAGAAGTGTTAGCTTAATAATTTCTCTGTTGTATGCTTAGCCTTGTTAGCATTAATCTTAATGAAAAAAATATTACATTGTGAAAAGTAAAACTTACCCGTGCTAATTAATAGTAATTTAGTGGTAGTGAGTAGTTTAAACAAAAAGTAATCACATAAAACAAAAAGAAAAATTAATAGCCTAACTACTCAGGAATGCACCTGGGTCCAGATGTAAATCACTGCTCTGTCAATGATAAGCTAAACCTATAAGCAAGCTGATTTCTTCACTGATGTTCACCATTCCTATGCCTTTAGAGAACATATATATACTGGTCACCAACTCAAAGAAAATTACACTCAGATTTTCACTCTCTTGAAGTGTGTCTGTTTGTCATTTCTTTCACCGACACCCTGACCACCCTGCACGCTTCTCTCAGCCCTGAGGCGGGCTCATCGTCTACTGCTGTGCTGGTCCGCGGCACTTACTGAGATTTTTAAGGCAGTGATCTATGGTCCCAATAGACAAGAGTGCTCTCCCCATAACGTTCCCACCTTGCCCTGTTTTGCAGTTGGCTGGCTTGTCCCAGTACCTCGACCGGCCCTTGAAATCTGTAGACTGGTGATGAGAACAGGGGCTATGTGTTAGTCTTGCTACCTCTTCACGTTTGAATGGTTTGTTTTCTCATTAAAACGTGTACCCCCTGACTGTGATACATACTTGGAGATCTTGTGCAACATGAGGCCATCATGTTAGAAGTTTTTCTTGTAAGGCATGAAGCATGGTGCTCCAGTAATTGTCCAGCCTGATGATGTTCACAATATGAGCTGACTTGTGATACACCAATGACATAAAAAGGGCAAAAGTTTGCCACCTCCCTGGAAGTGTTAGAGCATGGCCAGGAGGTACCCAGGGACCCAAACACTTAAGTGATGCACACTCAAACAGGGACTTGGCCATATACCACACAAAGGCAAAGTAGATTCTTGTGTGAAAAGATTTTAACACAATGGCCTAGAGAGAGAGAAGAGAAGGGATTTCAAATAATGGTTTCCCAGTAAACTAAAAAATTACCCTTTTCCTTATGGGCAAAAGCCCAGACAAAGAAGCCTGTTCAAAACCAGGGCCCTTGAGGGCCAGATGGCTTGCCACAAGCCTAAGTACCTTCTGGTGGGGACCCTCAGGAAGTGGATAGGCTGAGAGAGCTGAAACAGAAGGAGACTCAAAATTCCAAATATTCCACATATAGATAACAACTTCCATCGTCTACTTCTTCCCATCTGTCTCCTCCACATGTCTATTCCAAGGTCTCTGCATGTCTTTCCTTCATGTGCCTCGTTCTGTGTGTCTTGTCTCCCTCCTTTGTTCCACCTCCACTTATACATCCACCTTGCTCCTTCCCAACTGTTCCCATGCCATGTCATGACCTCATGGAACTTGTAGTCCATGATGACTGCCTGTAAGTGGGGTTACTTAAAGTGGCTCCTGCTCATTGCTCCTCCCCCTTTCACAGAGATGTACTGTACCAGGTGCATGCAGCTGTGCCCTTTCATGCAGTTCTCCTGAATGTGGGCACTAGGGTGACTTCTGACATAACTGGTTTATGCTTGAATTCAAACTTCGTATTAGTGGGTTTCTGTTGGGTGAACTATTGTTCTCCCTGGGTCCATGTGCCTCATTCCTTGTCCGGGCCAGCCGGGCAAATCAACGGGGTACCCGGGGGAGGAAGCAGGGGCTTGGTATGGGACAGGGGTACGCGAGGAGTGGAGACAAAGCCAGGATCATCACCAGTCTCATTTATTCAGGAATGTGTACAATGTTATATAGGGTTCAGAGGAGGAGGTCTCTCGTTATCTCTAGCAAGGAGAGACCACCAATGCAAACAAGCCACAGTAGCAAGCAGGGGGAAAGGTTCAGTCGTCACAATAGGAAACTTGAAACCTTCACTCGAGCTAACATTCAGTACCCGCTTCAGGCAAGAACCCGGATGTTTAGGTCTGGGCCTCAGGTCTGGGCCCCGACAGATCCTCCTTTTCTATTATTTCTAATGAGAGAGCGAAAAGACAAAAACCCCTCGGGGACTGCGCCTGTCTTAGGTCGTCAGGAGTCACAGACGTGTGGCGATTTAGCACCTCAAGCCATTTTGAGTCTGCCCCCGATCTTACCCGTCATTGGCTGACCAGTCCATCGCACAGGGAAGGGAGTCTTATTTCTTCAGACTGAGAGTTAAGTCTGAGTAAGAGCCTCCCTTATCTCGCATCTCCAACTTATGGTAATGTACCTGAATGGGTTTTGCCTGAAGGGCCTGAATCTGTTGTCTTACAAAAGTGATTATTCTGTTAAAAATGCAAGGACCCACGACAACCAATATCAAAAGGGTTAATAGGGGACCCACAAGGGAAAGAAGGTAAGATAAGAGTCCATTGAGACCAGTCCAGAGTGGATTTTCAGCTAGCTCCTGGCGTCTTCTTTCCAGGTCATCTTGTAACTGTCGGATTTTATTGCGGACAATTCCTGATTTGTTGGCGTAGAAACAGCATTTCTCCTGCAGGACCAAGCAAATACCCCCCTTTTCCGCAGTTAGCAAATCAAGGCCCCGTCGATTTTGAAGGACTGCCTCAGCTAAGGAGTCAACCTGATCCTGAAGATCCTGAATAGTACTAGAAAGAGCATGAACATCATTAATAAGTTGTTGAGACAGTTTAGTATATTGTGAGAGAGATATGCCTAATCCAGCTGTCCCTGAGGCCACAGCGGCAGTTATACCCAGGCCTGCAAATAAGGGAATCAGGTGTACTGCTCTCTTACTTCTACTGAAAAAATGGTCAACCGTTGGAATGGGCATGGGCTCACTTCCAGGAACCACGTTTATGTTGGGTAGAAGGAAACCCAACACGCATTGACCAGTCCTGTTAGCCGGCAATGGATGTGATTTATTTCCAGAACGCCAGAGGAGCCTCTTCTCCGTGCTCCGAACAACTGTGTGTGGTACCCCCGCGCCCGAAGAGGTCACCACGTCTGAGGAGGTGAACGTGCGGGCACCTGGGTGCAGCGCACTGTGGCCAACTGTGGCCCAGAACTGCCGATCAAGCGATCCTCCTGCCTCAGCCTCCCATGTAGCCTGGGATTACAGGCGCGCGCCACTGCGCCCGGCGTGTCAAAAAACTGGATAGGCTGAACCAAAATGGGAACCGTGAAGGAGCAATTACGGTATGGTGCAAGTGAGGAATTGGTTGTTGGAAAGGCCAAAGGCACAGGGAAACCCATTTGTAAGCATTACCAACAATTATTGGCCAGTGAGGAATTTGTTAAATTAAGTAGATTGAAAGAGGAGTGGAGGATATTAAAAGTATTGTAGTCAATGCCCAACTTTTGTCTTTCAGCAGGAAGGGCAAGTGGATGATAGCTAAGCGCAGGGGGAAGGCGTGGTGCAAGCTGTTTTAAGACTGTACTGACAAAGTGATCTCTGGCTTTGTCTTGAGGACCTCCTCCATCGGTGACATGTACTGGGGCAGTAGTTGCCCAGCACACTGTGTCACCCACCTTTTGTTAGCACCACAGGTGGTCAGCAAGGTAGAGGCCTATAGCTGACATGCAGGGGATGTCAGCAGTAAGAACAGCAGTATATTCAGTCTTAATTCCCAAAGCTAATTTCATATAGGCTTTGTGGAACCCCCACCCCAGGGTTGCTCTATAACAGTAACACGAGGAGTGTACTGACTCAGCAAAGGAAGTGCAGGTACACTGCCCTCCATGTGAGGGGCCACCTATAGCTGTCCGGAGGCATTTATAGCTGGACTTACGGCTGGAGCCTGCAACAGTGACCAAATATGTGATGTGGCCAGGGCAAGTAATGTAAGAGACATACCCATTAGGAGCGGTAGAGAAATAGCCCCACCTGTACTCACAAGGTTTACCATGAAGATGTTGAGTCAAAGGCACAATCTTGCCTGGATCCTTGAAGCCAGCAAAAGCCGAAGAGAAAAGTAACATCTCAGCATAGAGGATGAGTCAGGAAGCGGTCACCATGCTGTAACAAATCTGTAACAAATCTGACAAGCCCTTCAGGCAACCATCGGGCAGCATCATGAGTCTGTGAAGAGAAACATACTGATCCCCTTCCCCAGATCAGAACTGGGTTAGGGCTGTACAGAGATCCTGAAATTCAGTTCTCCAAAGTAAATGATCTCTGCCGTCAAGGACAGCCTTTACTAAAGTTTGCCAGTCTAGGGGAGTGAGCCACCCTTCTGCGATAGAATCAAGAATTGTGAGAGTGAAAAGGGCACTAGCACCAAATTGGGTAACAGCAGTTTTTAATTCCTTTAAATGTTGGAAATTATGTGGCTGGTGATAACGGCGGCATTGGCCTTCAGCATCTAGAGCTTTAATAACTGGAAAGACAGAAGCCGCGGAAAAGGGCTTTTTGGGAGGCGGGAAAGCAGACAAAGCCGCGGGAGCCAGGGGAGGAGTTAAAGTGGCTTCGGCGCTAACCCCGCCCCATAATGGCGGCTTTAAGGTGACGTCAGCTTCAAGCCCGCCCCTTAAGGGCGGCTTTGAAGTGGCCTCGGCATCACCCCTCCCCCATAATGGCGGAGCGGGATCTGAGTTGGATGAAGAAGTTAACTGAATCTGTCGAAGTTGAAGGGAAAGTTTATGATAACGAGCCTGTAGGCGCATGCGCTCCTCAAGGTGGGCGATTTTGGTTTTTAAGGTCGAGATTAGGGTCAGCGAGTTGTGAGGGCACAGAGGCAACAGCGGCCGTGTAGTAAGGAGGAGAGTGGGGATTGTAACGTGCAGCCTCCTCCTCCAGGTTGCTCCAATCTACTTTGCCCGCCTCAGGATCCTCCCCTTTTGCGATAGTGGGGGGAGGTTGCGAAGCAACTTTGATTTCGCTTTTGGAGTTAAGCAGTGGAAAAACTCCGCCCTCTTCTTCAGATGAGCAAGGAGGGTTTGTAGCTACAAAAGTAAACTTGCTCAAAGAGGGATAAATTCTATTTTTCTTTTTTATTTTGGGCCGGTCGGGAGAGGCCCTTTCATTTTTCTCTAAAGGTTCTTTTTGTTCTTCTTTGGATGGATCATCCTTCGCATCACTGTCGGAATTAAGTCCTCACAGCACAGCGATCATTGGGGGATGGGGCCCCTGCAGTGCTGGGAAAAGCACTTCTAAGCAGTTGTTTGGTTTGGCAAATGGTATTTGTAATATCAGGGTAGGCTTCCTTTTTTGAAATTAAATCATTAATTAGATTCCAGTATGAGAATGCTGTCACCGGAATTTTTTCGGGGCCAAAAGCTTCATAGAAATCATTTAAAGCATCTCCTACCCATTCCCACCTTTTTTGATCTATTGTGCCCTCTTGAGGGAACCAAGGACACAGGTCTTGAACAAAATCAAAAAAGTGGAGTAGATCCTTTTTTGTGACCCTGACTCCTCACGTCCTAAGTGCCACTTTTAATTGCTTCACATATATCTCATGCTGGCTTATTTCCTGTCCCATGATTCAGACGCTGTACCTGAGCTTACCTTATCCACGACGCGGCAGGGTCCCACGTCGATAAGGCTTCCTCCTGAGCTAGCTAGCTTCCTTTTCGGGCGTCTTCTCCCTCTGTAAGTTCTTCCTCGTACCCGGGCCCCACGTTGGGCGCCAAATGTCCGGGCCAGCCGGGCAAATCAACGGGGTACCCGGGGGAGGAAGCAGGGGCTTGGTATGGGACAGGGGTACGCGAGGAGTGGAGACAAAGCCAGGATCATCGCCAGTCTCATTTATTCAGGAATGTGTACAATGTTATATAGGGTTCAGAGGAGGAGGTCTCTCGTTATCTCTAGCAAGGAGAGACCACCAATGCAAACAAGCCACAGTAGCAAGCAGGGGGAAAGGTTCAGTCGTCACAATAGGAAACTTGAAACCTTCACTCGAGCTAACATTCAGTACCCGCTTCAGGCAAGAACCCGGATGTTTAGGTCTGGGCCTCAGGTCTGGGCCCCGACAATTCCTTACACTCAACAGAGTGTTGGTGGAGCTGTCCTCCCTGATGATGCTGAGATCAAGGCGGTTGTTTCTGTAGCCGGGGGGCTGTTCTCTGCCACGGTGCTGAAATTGTGGGCAAGAGAACCTCCCTGACTGACTAGAAAGGAACAGGCCTGAATGTCATTGCAGGAACATGGGTGGACAGGAAGAGAGGGACTGAAGAAATAAGTGCCCAGTTTTGTTTTAAGTTCATATTGTGACCGCAAATCAGATTATGGACTGTAAGGAAAGCCCTGGAGAGGAACCTAAGCTCAACAACTTTTAAAGCTCAAGTGTGAAGTGCATATATTTTGACCGGGTTAGATTATTTTCTAAGTAGATTTGCACAGAGGGAAAAAGTGTTGGTTTTTACTTAGTACCTAATTAAAACAATGCACAGGGGCCTCCCCGGTGGCGCAGCGGTTGAGCGCTGGGTTGCGAGCTGCCCGCAGCCTCTGCAGCACCGATTCGATCCCCGGCTGCTCCCCGGCCACCGGAGGAGGGTCCCACATGGCGCGCAGACCTCTCCTGCCGCCCGCTGCTCCCCTCAGCAGTGTATTTCGTCAGTCTGCCTGCTCTGCTCCCCGCTCTGGCTCTGGTGAATTCTCTCACCCTGCCGTGCTTCTGACTGTACCCAGTGCTTGTATAAATAAAAAACAAACAAATAAATAAATAAAACATGCCTCTATTTAAAAAAAAACAATGCACAAACCTTGCTCACTTCCTAGAACAAAAGCATGTACACTAAGTCAGCTCTTTGCTCATTTGCAGAATGGTAATGTGGAGAACAACTGTCCTAACCCTTGTCTAGCCTTTTCCACACCGGGCACTTTTGATGTTGTGTTCATTTCAGTGACCAGACCATTTAAAATTACCACTGATAAGTGTTTGAGGTGATAAATAATTTCACTGTTGACCTTATTTTATAAAGGTATTAAGTTAAAATCTCTTTAAACTTCACATCTTTTCAACTTTTTTCAAAAGATTTATTTATTTATGCATACATTTATTTATGGGGTACAGGTCAGAGATGGAGGAGGTGAGAGGATCCACCAGAGACAGAGTGGGGAACACAATAGTTGGATCTACTGAAACACACTGCTGAGAGGAGCAGCGGGGAGACAGGAGAGCTCTGCTGTGCCATGTGGGCTAACTTCTTGGCTCAGATTGAATTCATGCTGCAGAGGCTGTGAATTGCTTCATAATGTGATTCTTACCCCCTTGCTCCATTAGGGAGGCACTCAACTTGTTTCGTTAATACATGCAATATTGCACCCATTTTAAAAAATGTTTCTGGGTATATCCTACCCACTAGCCTTGCACAAAGCATTCCATAAGGATGTTCACCTTGTGTTTTCTTGGAAAATGCCATATTCGTTAGCAGTGGGACAGCACTGAGGTCACTTAAGTGCTATATCATTATCAGCTCTTAATACTGTCTCTGAGATTGATTTCCACTTGATGTGGTACTTTCTGTAGTGGGGGAAAGCATCTTGCCACTTAATTTTCACTCCTCATGCATTCAGTCCTCATTACAGCATGCCAGTGGAGTGCTTGGTGCTGGGCACCTGAACATGGCTTATGCATGTTTCTTTAGCATTTTAGCTTTGTTTCTCCTGTGGCAGAGTGCACTGTTTTTTTTATTATTCCTCTCTGCACCTCCCTGTTGTCTAGCCTGTTGTTCCTGGAATGGAACAAATTATTTGCTACTTATTCTTGCATCTTTGAGAATAATATTCTCCCAAATCCCCATGGGCAACACACACACATACACAGACACACACACAGACACACACACTTATACAATGCATTTCTTAGCTAGGAGAGTCACTACAACCATTTGTGAAATGAAATCAACAATGGCAGCCAATACAGATTATACAAAAAACTCTTTTGATGGGCTGTATTTAATATGATGTAAGAGCAACATACAATAATATATCTGGTTAGGTACATACATTTTTACCTTTCTTTTTCTGTACAAGCTATGGAAAAGATGTTGGGTTACAAAGGACTGGGAGATAAATTTATTGACCTGTCATTTATAGATATATCTGATTGTATTTTTCAATATTGAATTCCCTCTCACTCTGATCAGAATGCTTCCTGCTTTGGAAAAAAATGTCAAGCATCCATTATCCACCAAACTGTTACTTTGTTGACCTCATATGATATGTCCTTTCTTTTTTTGAAAGTTTTTTTTTTTAAATAGAGGCATGTTTTTATTTGTTTGTTTGTTTGTTTGTTTGTTTTGTTTATACAAGCACTGGGTACAGTCAGAAGCGCGGGAGGGTGAGAGAATTCACCAGAGCCAGAGCGGGGAGCAGAGCAGGCAGAAGGACCGAAGTACACTGCTGAGGGGAGCACCGGGCGGCAGGAGAGGTCTGCGCGCCATGTGGGACCCTCCTCCAGTGGCCGGGAGCAGCCGGGGATCGAACCGGCGCTGCAGAGGCCGCGGGCAGCTTCGCAACCCAGCGCTCAACCGCTGCGCCACTGGGGAGGCCCTGTGATATGTCCTTTCTGATATAGAACACCATTTCCTCTAAAATAACCAGGCCCAGAAATTAGCCAGTCACTTCACTGCATCCCAAGCTGTTTAGCCTGGACCCAGTTTCTGGAAGTAGGCATTACCCCTTACTCTAATGTCCTTTTTCTCCTAATTGTAGCATTTATGAGAGAGTCTGCACTTCTGGTTTTTCCTTTTCATGGATGTAAATGGTATGACTTCTAGAAGATGTGAATGGTGGGTTCTAGAGGAAGGCAAGGGCCCATTTGCATCATCATAAGCTGAAGGCTCAGTCATCAGATTTGCTTCAACTGCTATTTCTGGTGCTTAAGGTGTCAGTGTTGTTCACATCCCAGATGTGGACATTTCAGAAAATAACTGATAGGAGTCATTGCTTGGTGAATAAATAATGGCACTGTTAACACACTCAGGTTGGCCTGCGGTATCGCAACAAATTCAACTGAAGACACAAAGATTATGTCCTAGTGACTTTGCAGGGAACATTGGTCACTCACATAGTGGCTGTTAATGTGAATACAGGCTAGAATACCCTCAGAAATTATATAAAATCATGTGGGTGCATTCAAAGGGGTTTTCTACTTACAGATTCCCAAAGGGATTTGTTTCATGTGATGCAGAAGAAAGGATGTATCACTGTTACAAAGTGGTCTGTTTCTCTCTGGGCTGATTCTTGAGAAGGACACCATTCTCTAGTTCTACAAAGCACCACCTATGGCAGGTCTGGTCTACCAGGCACTCAGGATTGAATGATTTATTGGTTTTGGAAACTCAGAATTCGAGAGAGTGGGAAATGGAAATAGGTGGAGGTTGGGAGGAAACCTAGATGATGATTTGGATTATCCAGCCTGTAAGCTGCCCTGCTGACCTGTCAGTCCACATAAGGTGGATTATACACGTGTGGGTTTAAGTCAGAGCTGGGCTTGTTCTCTTTTCTCAGCCTCTCCTCTATTTATTTCCAAATCCCTCAAGAACTCAGAAATGGAGGCATGTGGGAGCACCAGGCTCCTGAAGGATTGGCATGAACACAGACTTTTCAGTCTATTCCTTCATGAGCCCAACCTAATTTGGTTTCGCCATGCAAGCGATTTTTCCACTTGGTATCACCCCTCGGTCAGTCATTTTGTTATAAATCATGACTGTATAACTCATATCTTTGGTGCTTATGTTGGAAATTGAAAGATGACTGTGTATTGCAACGATTTTCAACTCACTACACTGCTTGCCCGAGATTCCTCCTGGCGGGGAGGGATGGGAGACATTTTGCAAATACAAATGCTTTCCATGCTGAATGAAGGACTCTATCCATTAATCTAGATAACTTCACCAACATCAGATATGGACTTTTACACATTCATCACATGCAAGAGAAATTAAGTAGTAATAATTTTATGGGGAAAAACACACCTTATAGGAACAAAGTGATG